ATAGATAGATAGATAGATAGATAGATAGATAGATAGATAGATAGATAGATAGATAGACAGACAGACAGACAGACAGACAGACAGACAGACAGACAGACATCAAATTTAGAGAGCTACTAGCTCCATAAAGACTCTGGGTGACATATACCATTAAATATAGCAAGAATCAAAATAAAAAAGAAAGAACAATGCTTGAATGCTTTTTCTTCTGAATGTACAAACATATATCCAGAAAGAGGCTTGCCATGCATCCTAACCCAAGGCCTGGTGGAAAAGCCAGGTTTTCAAAGACTCTTTAAACATGGTCAAAGGGAAGCCATACAGCTCTCTGGAGGAAATGCTGTTCTACAGGACAGGCACCATGACAAAGAAGGCCCATTTCCTGGGTCCCATTAGACATTGTTTAATTGGCAGAATGCAGTGCATACCCACTCTGTCTGATCACACAGGATGAGCAGAAACTATCAGAGATAGGCAGTCCCTCACACACTTATAAGTCTTAGACAAGGCACTGAGCAAGTCAATGCCTGAGATGAAATAAGAAGAGATCCATGTACTCAGGGTTGAGAAACCAGTGGCTCCAGCCATCATTCTGAAACATGAATGATACTAGGTACTGTAGTTCAACATGTGGATAGCAACAGATTTCCCAGCTCCAGTGTAATCCAACATCCTGTTAATCAATATCATCAATTTGTATACCACATTTTCCATAGTTTGTTCTCCAATTAGTTCATACAACAGACAGTTTAAGTACAATACCCATAAATATATCAAACTGCATTCACTCAATTACAGCTAATTTAAAACAAGTCAGAATATAAGCACAGGAGATGCCAATAGGTCAATTAACATAACCATTCCCACATTTGCAGGACCACCTCTCCCTGATGGTATCTGCTCATTTGACCAGTTAGGATAAGGAGGGTATGCTCCCTTAAATATTGCCATCTAGTGGGACCTAGGAAGTGTGTCTTTTTCTTGGCAGCCCCTGCCCTGTGGAAAACTCTTCCCCCTGGGATTCAGCAGACCCCCACCCTTTTAGCCTTCTTTAAAGAACTGCTTCCCCGAAGTGCTGGGATAGTTGGAACCTAGGGATAGTTTTATTGGAGGCATCGGAAAAGGATGGTTGAGGTGCTACGTTTTTGCTTTTTTGCTTTTATTTAAATTGTTTTTT